TCTCTCTCTCTCTCTCTCTCTCTTAATATTTTGACTAAAAGTCTGCTCTTTCTGGATATTTTAACGAATTTTTGCCACGATTGTAGAAAAGGGCATATATGGGTCTTAATTTCGATTGCTATGTGTGCCATGACACGGTGGAATCAGACGCTTATCAATTGTTGGACATAAGAAGTTATTGGTAGGATCTTAAAAGCTGGTTCATTGGCATTGCTTTTTGAAAATAGAATACCCATCTGTCTTGAACAAAATTCTTGGCATTTGCGATTGAATTAGGTGGGGTCGCCTGGCGTCAGATGCAAACTTAGTGAGAAAATGCCCACAGAAGTTTGTTGGCTTACAAAGCTTGAATGTCCTTGGAAACTACAAATGTACATTTTATTTTGTGTTCGTGTCTTTGATCAACGGTTTTTTTTTTAAATAGTAAAATGCACATAGAAATATAAATCAACATAAATGACCAAGAAAAAGCATCGATAAAAATTGCCTAACAGGTAGAAAAATGCCCTTTTTTTGTTTCAATATTTTGACGAGCGCCTGATGTCATCACAATTTCTCACATATTATGACTTTGAATGGTCTTCTAGCCCCCCCCCCCCCCTCGCACACACACACACACACACACAACAATCATATTTCAGTTGTTATGCTAAACTGACCGATGCATGGGATGTAACATTAAGACTGTTCGTCATTTCATTCAGGAGACATAAGGTCAATAGACAAATTATGAGGGAGTTGTTGGGGGTTCTTTTAGGAGTATCTCCGTCTGTCTGCTGGGGCAGTTAACCCCTCTCAATCAGCGATAGCCCCGAAGGGCAGGGTCAAGCACCCCGACCCCTGAGTGATCTAACTTGTGTCGCTGGGAGCGTATTTTACCTTTACAATTAATTATATAATTATTATAGGAATGTTAATTGAACGTGCTACCAGAGTTTGAAGCAGAGGTTGTTGTAAGGGTTCAAATATGAGATAGGTCCGAGTTATGGTTCTCATCATGCCAAGAATACGCCATGTATATATAATTACTCTTAGTCCGTTTCTGTGGCTGGAAGCCAAAAGGATCTGCTTTTCAAAGGGACTTTCAACAAACCCAGAAGGGTGACAAACGTAACAACAGCGAATTCTGTTTTTGATTGACAAACATAGTTCTGTGTTGATTGGACATGGGAAAACAAAAAGAAACAGACCCCCCCGCCCCGCCCCCCTGCCCCTTTCTGTTCTAAAATAAAGAAAGAAAATAAATCAAATCAAATCAACCGAAGCGTTTGAAGACAATGAAGAGATAATTTATTCAAGCTTCTATAACGCTGTGTTACACACGTGCTGCTGAATCTTTTAAATAAGTTTTGATGTAGGCTTAGGCTATGAAGACAAAACATCAATTCATAAAACAGTGGCCAGAGGCGGGTTGAGGGGACGGGGGGGGTGCAAAAGGTGGGGTTGCTTGTAACTTCCTTTAACAGAGGACACAAACTATTATGGTTGGACAAGATTGTTGAAGTTTGAGGTGTATGGGAAAAAGCGGATCAGAGAATCACAAAATACCAAAAGGATATTGTTATTAACACAGAAGTGTACGTCTTGATCAACTGAGTTGATCAAAATTCTAGCCAAAAGTTCTCTTCGACCCTGGAAAATATAGCTTAATTCCAAACATTAGAAGTGGATTGGTGTGTCTTTTATTTAATTGTTGTTCTTAGTAAATAACATTAAAGGTATGATTAGTTCTTGCATCTTCTGGGAACACGACAATAGTGACTATTATTCGTTTATGATTGACCCAATTCTCAATAAAGCAGATGATTATCAGCACACTAAAAACAATAATACGTAAACACAAAAGAAAACAAAAACATTGGGAAAATGTGTCAAAATCTCTTAAAGACCAAGAAAGACACCACAAGATAAGGTCAGAACAAAAACAAACAAACGAAAAAAAAAAAGAAACAAAATGTGTCAAAATCTCAAAAGACCAAACAGGAAGCCAAAATATGAGAAAGTGTTAGACAAAAAAGCAACATAATTATTTTAAAAAGCAAGCAAAAAAAACACAACAAAAAACAAAAACCAAAAACTAGCCAAAACATGCCCCAAATCTCTTAAAGACCAGCCAACTCAGCCTTGACCTTGGCGTCATCAGCCGCCATCTTTTGGCGCATGCGCCTCTCGGCCAGCCACAGGCGTCGGTTTTTGCTGGTGCAGGTCCGGGACTTGTAGTCACATAACCGGTTAATGGAGTCGAATTGTAGCGAGGCCGGACATGTGCGGACGTACAGGTAGCCGTGAGAGCAAGTACTGGGGACAGGTGGGAGGGGGATTTTTGGTTAATTCTGTTGTTGTTGCTGTTGGTGTTGGTGTTGTTGTTGTTGTTGGTGGTGGTGGTGGTGGTGGTGGTGGTGTTGATGCATGTGTTTGTTATAGCGTGTGTGTG